GGTGGACCATGCGTTTGTTACTGTTGTCAGCCCTGTGTGTGCATGTATCACACACTCACACACTCACACACGCACACACGCACACACACACTTTAGATAACTGTAGTTCAGAAATGATTTTTAGAGCTGGATGCAACCTCACATACCTGTAATCCCAACATTTGGGAAGCTGAGGCTGAAAGATCATGAGTTCAAGGCCAGCCTGGCTGCCACAACCCCCACGAACCAAAATAATTTAGAAATACAAGGATAAAATGTTGCATATTCACCAAACGCAAGGACACACAGAGAACTAGTTTTCTTGCCATTGCTCTCTGTAGTGGTTTGAATGAGAACGTGCCATATAGGCTCAGAGGTTTGAATGCTTGACCTCTGCTTGGTGGAACTGTTTGGGTGTGTTTAGGAGGTGTGGCCTTGCAGAAGGAGGCATGTTGCTGAGGGTAGGACTTCTTTGATGTCTCAAAGTCATGCCTTTCTCGGTTCACTCTCTCTGTTTCATGCTTGCTGCTCTATATGTGAGCCCTCAGCTTTTGCTCCAGCTGACATGCCTGCTGCTTGCTGCCATTATAGATTCTAATTCTTCTGGAATTATAAGTCCAAATAAACTCTTTTCTTCTATAAATTGCCTTGGTCATGGTGTTCTATCACAGCAATGGAAAGTAAACTAACACACTCTCTGAATTATATAAAATAATAGCTTTTTATATTTATATTATTAAATAGGTTTGCTTATAAATATAATATGTGTTTGTGTTATATTAATATTAAACATTAGAATTATTAATTATTATAATTAAATATTGATGCTAGGTATTGATATTATTTTATTTGAATATTATGCATTTATTTGTTATGCTGATTATTTATGAAGAATTGCTTATTTTATTTATAAATGTTTATTAAATATAAACATTAAACATATATTTATATATCACTTACTTTTAATATATATAATAGCTAATCTAGAAATGATTTAAAGTAGGATATGAGTAGGTTCCATTTAGATATTACCCATTTCATATAAGAGACTTGAGCCTCCATGAATTTTGGAATCCTTGAACCAAAACCCCACAGATACTGTGGGACAAATGTATTTCTAAATCTATCAAGGGAGATCAAGGTGGGCCCTATTTCCCTTTGAGCTAGTGGTAAAATATCTGGAAACACATGCCCTATTCTGGCTACTGCATTTTGAAATACATTATTATACCCACATGAGGGAATGCAGGATATTGTGTGGTTAGAAATAATACCAAGGTAGAACAATTGAAGGCTCTTGTTGACCATTCCTAGCAATTATTCAATTACCTAATTATTATAAGAAGAATTATTGATGTTAATAACTTAATAATTGATGGTACTGGTTTTATCAATGATAGACAGCTACTTTTTCCTATTGCCTATGAGCCAGGCACAGACTAGATGTGCATGTACATGCCCATGCATGCTGTGTGTGTGTGTGTGTGTGTGTACGTGTGCGTGTGTATATGCAGGTACCCATATATGTGCAAAAGTGTGTGTATAAGCCAGAGAACAATCTCTGATGCCATTTTTCAGAAGCTATCCAATTTGTTTTCTGAGATAGCTTGCCTCATTGTCCTGGAACTCCTCAATTCAACTAGTCTAGTTTGTCTGCAAGCCTTAGAGAGCCCCCGTGTCCACCTCTCCAGAAGTGAGATTAACAGCATGAACCACTGCCCTGAACTCGGGTCTTCATGGTTATATGGCAAGGATTTTACCAAATGAGCTACTGCTCAGCCCGTGAACCTTTTACATTCATGATCCTTAGTGGGAATAGTCACAGATAGCATCTCAGTCGGAAGGAACTCCTAACTGCTCACAAATACTACTAACAGGAACTGGCTAAATGTTACCCCTGCTTGATCCATCAATACTCCAGGAGGTTACAAAATACTCCACGGGCCACATGTGGGCCATAGATGTGTTTTTATTTGCCCTGAACGCTGTTTAATTTTTAAACATTTGTTGCCAATTATGAAGAAATAGTGAGATTTCTGTTAAGAAGTCCTGGTTCCCAGCTTCTAATGGGAGCATGAAGCCTGGGCCTCGCCGAGCCTCAGCTCTTCACCGTGGCTTTCCATCCTTCTCCTGTCCCTCACAGCCTGCCTTCTTTCTCTGAAGTACCTGAAACTCAGTCTGCGATGCATGCCAAAGTCACCACCCCACCCCCAAATGACAGAGGGCCAGTCTCTCATGTAACCAGCTCTTCTCTCTGCCACCTTCCTCTGGCTTCTGCCGCTCTCCCCTTTCTGAGTGGTTCTCTCAGCCTACAGCATACCTCAGATTCCCCACAGGGCTTCCTGGACTCACAGCATCCAACTCTGCTACAGGACTTCCTGATTCGGGGTATCTAGGGTTGGGTCCTAGCCATTTAATTTGAACATGGTTCAGACTGATGCTGTTGCTGCTGACCCAGGGACCACCATTTGAAAGCCACTGGTCTGCAACCCAAACACAAGTTCCTAATGTCCAGTGGGTTCCTTGCTAATGAACCTGGGCAGAGTAAGGAAAGGCGAGGTTCACATTTTGAGGCCTTACAAGTAGTCTTGCAAAAACTAAATAGAGGGGGGCACTGTTGAGATGACTTGGCGGCGGGGGTTAAATGCTTTCTGTGCAAGCATAATGGCTAGAAGATCTTGGCTTTCCTGAATCCATACAAATGCTCTGTGTGTGTGTGTGTGTGTGTGTGTGTGTGTGTGTGTGTGTGTGACAGTCCACTTGTAATTCCAGATCTTAAGAAACTGAGACAGGGCCTTCATATCAACCTGGCTAGCCAAGCCAGTTCTATTCGTGATCTGGGTTTATGTGGGAGACCCTGTCACAGTGAAGAAGGTGGAAAGCAATCAAGGAAGAGTCCAGTAAGTAGCCACCTTCAGTAGCCACCTTCAGGTCTCCACCTGCACATGCATACATCCTGGACACAAATATGCTCATATACTTGTACACACACACACACACACACACACACACACACACACACACACACACACGTCATTACCTTACCTCTGAAACACTAGTTTCCTGAACAAAGAATTTGTCCACCCCTTCCAAATCCACCTTTTGATTTATTCCCAGTGGGTTCAGGAAAGGCAGCTGTACTGCCAAGGACAAGCGGTCCCACCTCCACCCCAGGACTGAGCACAGACGCTACCTAAGGAACAGTACTACTAACTTGCCTCCCGAAGATCCTAAACCCAAGACACTAACTCCTCTGTGGCATCGCTGCCCACCATAGTCAATTCTCTTTGAGAACCTGTCGTGTACAAGTGCCTGCGAGCATCACAACGATCCTCCACGCAGAAGCCATTATCTCGCTGCACTACAGAGGATGACAATAAATAGGTCAGAGAGCACTTGACTGGTTTTACCATCTCTAAAACAGCCAGGAGACAGCGGCTACTCACTGTTGATCGGATGCTCTTAAGAGTGCCGTGCTCCGGCCTGTGTCACTGTTTAAGAGGAATGATACGACACCCGGAAATAACGTCATATGGGTGTGCTTTCAGGAGGGGTTTACAGGATGTCAGGATTTCAATACATGCTCACAAGTCTCCCGAGCGTCTAGAGAGGGCGGGTCTCTGCTGGATATTTTGGGAAGACTGGTCAAGTATTAATCTAGAATATTCAACAATGGAGAAAAGTCCCAGTCTGGAATGGACTGCTTCCATTGGGGCTGGCTTCTCAGCACTCAGATGCATTCAGCAAGAGGCTCGGGGGGGGGGGGGGGGCTGCCAGGCTGTAGTTCTAGGCATTTGGAGCAAAGAGACAGGGTACTTTTATAGGGCTCTTGGGTGAGCCACCTGGGAGATTTTCTTGTCCCTTTAACCTAGACTTTCTAGAAAGCTTCCAATGGAGTTAGACTGCCCAGGATATGGTTCTCCCTCCTTCCCATCCGAAAGCAGTTGGGTGACCTCTGGGAGTCTCTACCTTCTTCTCCCAGCTCCCAGAACAATAACCAGCCTTCTAGGCTGTTATGAGGGTTTAATTAGATGTTGTATGTGAAATGCTTAACATGGCACCTAGCACATAATAAATGCTCAAGAAATTAACAATTATCACATCGAAATAACTATCATTATCACCTTCTTCACCTGAAAACTGAGACCCCCTACAACTTCAGGTGTCAATGACAATGTTTATGTTCACTTTTCAGCCTCCTTCAGGAGTTTCACAACATTGTAATAAAGTCCCCAGGTCTGCACTGTACTTAACATTAACAAAGAAATACCCACCCAACAGAATCACAGTTCTGATCCAAACAGCCAATGCCCACCTTCCTACCCCAGAAGCCGTCAAGAACCCTACTGGGTCTTTGGGGTGGCAAATTTCTCCCATGGATTATAGGGGAATGGGAAGTGTTTATTCTGCATGAAAGCCTATCTACATCCAGCCTCCAGGAAGTCTGTGGGTCAGGAGTCTCAACCTCTGCTTCCTGTTCCTTCACCTGGGGAAAGGGCTGGCTGGTGAACCGCTCTCAGTTACCGAATCAGAGGTGGTACTGTATGTTTCTCTGAATTCAATTGAAATACCATTGAGATAAACAACATGACCTTTTCAATGTCAGTCTGGAGAGAAAATGACAAGGTTGAACTGAGGAAGGAAGGAGGGCAAAATTAGATTCTTCATCACATTTCCAGAATATGTCTGGACTCTGCTCACCCAAGAACCACCCCCAAAAAGGTGTCAGCTCAAACAGTTACAGTAATTGAATCAGAGCAGCAGCAGCAGCAGCAACAACAACAACAAAAACCTCCATATCAATTGTCTTCCCCATTATTTACAGAGGCCTGGCTTTGCAATAGAAACCTCCATGTTGGGATCCAGTGACTTGGAAGCAAATGGGGAGGGAGGCACCCACAGACATATTCAAGTGGATGTGTCGATGCACACACCCCAGAAAGCATTCGAGGCACACACCCGCAAAAGAAAGAACATCTTGTATCTAAGGACCAGCCAGCCAAAGAGGGGAGTTTACTTACAGCTTTTGGTTTATATGGTGGCTGAATCTCCTTGCGTTCGAGCTTCTCCCAGTCAATATACCGGAAAAATGCATGTTCTTTAATGTCCCGTTCCCCTTCAGGCCCACAACCCAGACGCTTGCCTGGGTGTTTGGTCATTAGCTAAAAGAGGGGGAAAGAAAAAAATAAAACATTGAACAGATTGCAGGCCAGGACGTGAGCGCCGTGAGAAACAGTTAACCCAACGAGGGAGGAAAGGAGCATAGTGAAGAAGATCAACCAGTCTTACTCTTGCAATAGAAACCTCCATGTTGGGATCCAGTGACTTGGAAGCAAATGGGGAGAGAGGCACACACAGACATATTCAAGTGGATGTGTCGATGCGCACACCCAGTGACAGTTTCTTAGCCAGATCTCTGTGGGAGGGAAGCCTAAAATGATGCCCATCCCAGAGCAAAATCCTACAGGGCTAAATCAAATCAAAGCTCCAATGTGGCCTTGAACTTCACATTAAAAATGTCACAGGCTGCGTTTGGGCTCAAGAATGAGTCTCTGTGTTACTGGTGCACCTAAGGAAGACAGTTGCTATTTCTTCAAAACCCCTTCCCCTCCTGTCGTGAGAAACACTGACATTTGGCCAACTGGAAGGATGCATTCATTCAGATGCTGTTTGCATTTCTCAGAAAAGCACTTGTAAAATGGGGGAAAAAACCAACAACAAACAAAAGAAAAACATTAGTCAAATGGACCCAAGTTTCAAGTAATTACTTTCAGAACACTCATTAAATAGTCAAAACCTAGCCCAGCTCATTTTCCCCGTATCACACATCACCCTCCGCTGAGGTTTCTTTGGTGTTCTGTTTAAATTACTTAATTATCAACACTCCCCATCTTTGTGTCTGGCAGCCAGGGCTAAATAACAAGATGAATAGATGCAGAGATGAAACCAGCCAGGCTTCCTGTTCGAAATGAACCTGAAGCCACATGCCAGGGTCTCTGATCTCAAGACGCCAGCAAGGGAACAGATGAGAGAAAGAAGGAGGAGGTGACGATTCCAAAAGAGAAGGGAGACGACTCGGAGGGGATGTAGAAACAAGGGAAAGGAGTGAGCCGCAAAGCCGAGCTGACACCAAGCACCCTCGGGTTTGCCCACAATTGGATGACTGTGGCGAAAGAGGGAACCTAGCAATTCATTCTGAACTGCTGCACATTTGACTTGACTCCTGCCTGTGAGATGCTCACAGCCACAGGCACACGCTGTCCATGTGTGCTTTATCTCCCAAGGAGCCAAACTACCTCAAACTCAGTATTCTCAGCTTTTTTTCCCACGTGAAATGACAAGGCAACTGGTCCTCAGAGAACTCAAACAACAGTAAGGACTTGCAGAGTGACCACAGGTGGGATCTGGTCCCTCTTCAGCCTAGCTCCAAAAAAAAATTTTTTTTTCACCATACAGGGTTTCTCTGTGCTGCTTTGGAGCCTGTTCTGGAACTAGCTCTTGTAGACCAGGCTGGTCTCAATCTCACAGAGATCCACCTGCCTCTGCCTCCCGAGTGCTGAGATTAAAGGCGTGCGCCACCTCGGCCCAGATAAAATTTGGGCTTTTAAGAGAAATGGGAGCCAGGCATGATGGTGTATGCTTGTGATCCCAGCACTTCATAGGCTGAGACAGGAGGATTGCAGAAGCCCAAGGTCAGCTTGGGCTTCATAAGGAGATCCTGTATCAAAGTGGCAGATGAGAGAGAGAGAGAGAGAGAGAGAGAGAGAGAGAGAGAGAGAGAGAGAAACTCGGGACAAATGACTGTGATGCCTCTAGCATACCAAAGCACACACTGGCCTCCAGGTACCCGTGGCTCTTCTCACCTGCCCCCCAAACTTCTCCAGCTTATCTTTTGTCCCCCTCTCTTGCCTCCTCTTTTGCACCCCTCTCTTGGTCATCTTTGTCTGTACTTTGTTCTCTTCCTCTCTCACCCTCCCCACTCTCTCTCATTTCATGGCCTGGTTTAGTTGCCTGGTAATGCTCAGTATACTGTTTTCTCTTTCTTCTCTGGACTCTTTCAAATGTCCCTGGCTGTTCTCTCTCTCTCTCTCTCTCTCTCTCTCTCTCTCTCTCTCTCTCTCTCTCTCTCTCTCTCATATCTACATTAAAAACCTTCTCCTTAACCTTGGAGTCGTCATGTCCTCACTTTATACACTCTGCATGTGGTTTTCCCAGAGGTATTTGTGGTCTGGCTTGGTCAGGAAAAGTCAATGGAGGGCAAGCAAATTAAGTCAAGCCTTGGCATTTACGTTGGGTTTGGATGGATAGAAAGAAAGTCTGGGACAGTGTTTTTCAAGCTTTTTAATACTGTGACCCCTTAATACAGCTCCTCATGTTGGTGAGATCCACAACCATAAAATTATTTTCATTGCTACTTCGTAACTGTAATGAATTATAATATAAATATCCGTGTTTTCCAATGATCTTAGGTGACCCCAAGGGGTTGTGATTCACTGGTTGAGAACCACTGATCTAGACAGTCTCAGCCCCGATAACAATAACACCAACAATGTTTCTGTGGACTGAGCACAGCATGTGTCTGTGCTAAAGGTAGCCCAGCCATTATCTCTAACTCTTGAATCTTACAGAAACACTCTGAGGCTTCAGTAACTATTTTTCCTGTTTTCTCGATAAGGAAACTGGTCCAGAGAAGTAAAATCACCCACCTAATGTCACACAGCCAAGGAGACGAGTGAGGCGAGTGTGTGGATGTGTGTATACATTTGTGTGTGAGTGCATGTACACGCGGAGTCCAGAGATCTGCCTCTCATGTCTTCCTCAGTCACTCTCCACCTTGTTTGCCTGGAACTCCCCCAATTTAGCTAAGCTAGCTAGTCAGCGAGCCCCAGGAACCCTCTGTTCTCTACCTACCCATTATTGAGATGATGGATGTGTGCCACCATACCTGGCTTTTTTATGTGAGCTCTGAGGACTGAACCCGGGTCTCCATGCATGGCAAGTACTTTACCCACAGAGCCTCCTCCCCAGCCCCAGGTCGGGTTTTGAATAGCTCAGCTCTCCCAGCCCACTGTAACTCGGTCTCTGTTTATTTTTACTTCAACTTGCCAGTCTAGGCTTGTGTCCGCTTTCAGCATACTGGCCATGGAAATCTAAACAAACCTTTTCTGCTTTCACTGAAAGCAGTTTTTCTGGAAAACAAGGTGTTTATTTTTTTAATGAGCTAGACATATACAAGAAGATGGTATCTGTGGGAAAGATGTCTGCTTTTTCAGATCCCTTGTAGGCAGGGAGACGACAAGCAAAGACGCGCCACTGTGGGCACACAGAGCGGGAGGAGGCTCTGCCTGGTTCCCACACTCCGCTCTGGTGCCTGAAGCCATGTAGACAGCTGGATGTAATCACTGTTCCCATCTCGGCTCACCTCCCAGACTCCTCTCCTGGGGCCCTCTGCTCTGGAGGAAGCATTTGGCTCTTGGCTTATACATCACTCCTACTTCGAAGGAGTAGCAGCCTTGAGGAGAGAGCCCACACTGCACTCTGCCCACTGACCACAGAGCACTGCCCCCAACACTGCCAGCCAAGAGAGGCGCTCTGGTTCATCATGAAGGTTATGGATCCTGGATTGATAGGAAACCGCTCCACCAGGCAAAGTGCTAATTGGAGCTGAAGCTGAAGGCAGCTGACCTGAAAAACTTTCTCTCCTCCATGACCCACTTAGAACCCCCCAGCTGTCCAGGCAGGGATGGACTTAGCAAGTGGAAGCCCAGGAGCGTGCATCGGACACCTACTACACCCTAGCCACGCAACAAGAGTCCTCTTCCACGGCCTCGCTCAACGGTCTTGGAAATGGCTCATTAAGTACTTTTATTTTGTTTTTAGAGCCGAAGAAGAGGAAGAAGCCTAAGGATTCAAGGGAATCGCTCAAAACCACACACCTAAGAAATGAGAGGACGTGGATTTACGGGGGCCTTTTGATCTCCTAAATCCTTCATTTTTCAAATTCCCCTGTTGCAGGGGGGACACAAGCTCAAACGCCAAGAGGAGCCTGGCACCAGACAGAGAAGTGACAGCATTAGTCATATTGGAGATGGCCTGAGGGTTCTGGAGCAGAATCCAGTCTCTGGTCTAAGTGATTTATAGGCATTAACTGGTTTAATCATCAAAGGACCCTACGTGCAGGGCTGTTATTGGCCTCAATCCGTAAATCAGGTCAAACAGCTCCCCCACGATCACAGTGGCTCATATCTTTGGACTTGAATTTGAACCCAGATGGAATCTGGCCGTTATGTTTTTGCTTGCTTGTTTTTACAAACTGGAGAAGGCACGTCCCATCCAGAGGGGACTGTGATTTCCAATCTTACGAACAGATGCTTTGTAGGAATGACAGGCCAATGTGGCAGCTGAAAACCTAAGGGTTTTAGGGAACATCTAGCCCTTCAGATGTTGGGAATCATTAAACAAAGTCTTCGTGATTGACTTTCTTCCGCTTCCCTCCTGACAGAATGTCTCCAGAAGCCCCATTGGCCTCTGTCTGCAGCCTGTCTTATCTTTGGGCTTTGCCAATGCTCTGGATAAACCTTTGAATCTCCTCTGTGCTCCTGGTTTTTCTTCTCTCCCTGCCTCACACCCTCCAAGGGAAAAAAAAAACCTGGAACCAATTTAACTTGAGACTGAGGCTAATTCACACGTGGCCTCCCTAGAGATGTCTACATCCTCACTTGTATAGCTCAAATACCACGCTCAGGTGACTGGCCAGGTGGGAGTTCAGGTAGTGTTACAAGGTATTTTCAAGCTGTGAGGTTGGCCCAGCTCATGTCACCGGGGCCAAGACTCAGGCTGAGCTGCCTGATTGTTGTTGATTTCCTTAGCCAAAGCCACCATAGACGGCTTCTGACTAGGGTCAAGAAGAGCCGGGCTGGGTAGGGCGGGGGGGGGGGGGGTATGCACTATCCCAGAGATGTATGATACAGCCCTGTCATGTGAAGACACACAAGGGGAGCCCTGTGCTCAGGCACAGCCAGAGCCTAACCTTTAGACCTCGCCTTCATTGTTGGCCTTTGTAAAAACTCTGTCTCAGAGTGCAGCTTTCACACTGCGGTCATGGGTGAGAGAGTGCATCCTTTGGACAATGTGCTTAAAAGCAGTGTGTTCTGAGCCACATTGCAGGGCAGGGGTGTGGGGTGTGGGTGGAGTTTCAGAACACTAGCGCTCAGAGTTAGGCTCTGGGATGGAGCCTCAGTCTGTATAGTCTGAAAAGCACAGGTTGGATCCAACACAAGATGTAGCACAGCCTTTACCCGTAAACTCCTGTCTGGCTTTCTTCACAGGTACTATTTCCACAAATTGCAGGTATGTAACTGTCTGTGCTCTTTCAACTGTGTGTATATGTGCACATAAGTGTTTTCACGCCTGTACACTACAAGATGCGGGCAGCTTGTGGAACAGTACATTTAAATCATCTTATCCAGGCAATCCCTTAAAATCAACACTGCCTGGAATTTTCTTACAACAAGAGCCATAGAATTTTAATATTACCTGAACACACACACACAGTAGAGCAGGCAAGTAGACCATACTACGCCCTTCCCCATGGTTCCAGCTCTTGGGCAGAGTCTCTGTCTCCCACCTCCTTCATTCCATATGTATATCCTTGTGTAAGGGCTTGGGACTCCTGCCCCGCCAAAAGAAAGACTCTAGACCTTAGTTGCCTCTACAGACCTTGGCGCAATTGAGAAGGAAGCTCTCTTTTTTTGGGAGAGGACAGCTTCATAGCTGGGTTCTGGTGTCAGCAGCAGAGCAACAGATGTTAAGCCTCTGTCGCATACTAGTTGGGGCACAGCCTGCACCCCTTGCATAGTAGTCCCGGCCTTGAGTGCCAAACTACTTACCCCTTTGCAGATGGCCACAGCTTCCTTGGACATGGATTTGGGATATGCCACATTGTGCTCCATGATGGACTGGAACAGTTCATCCTCATCCTCCCCTTCAAAAGGTGCCTGTGGAGCAGAGGGCAGGGTGGCAGAGGAACCCTTGCCTGGCCCTCCTCCCAGCTTTCTCTGACCACCAGGACTTCCTCCCAGCTCCCATCTCAAGGCGAGACATGCCAGGGCTTTCATGAGAGAGAAGATGATCAACAAACTTAAATAACCCCAAGGCCAGGCAAGTCAGAGGTGCTAAGATGTATGAGCTATGACCGAGTCGTCACTTTCTTCAGAGACCGTGTGGCTGAAAGTGGAGGACCATTTTTCTCACAGATCACTTAAAATTCAATTACCTGGCCGGCCAGCATTTCATAGAGCAGCACTCCAAATGCCCACCAGTCCACAGACTTTCCATAGGGCTGATACGCGATGATCTGGAAAACAGAACGCACCCTATCAGAGCGGCAGGCAGGCCCTGTGGCTGGAGACTGAATTCACAAAGGAAGAGTGGACTAGCAATGGGCCAGAGAGTCTCAGGTATGGCCCTGACCTTCTGTGCAAGGTGACCGTGGCTGACACACTCCCAGATTTGAGCGGGGTCTCACAAAGTGAACAGAGAGGACAGGGTGTACCCAAGCTGTTTCCTCACATTTGATGCTTGGGGGAATGAAGCACACACATCGCCAAGGCCCCTGCAGCTGGGCAAACATCTGTGTGTGCCACCTTGCCTTTTTAAGCACCGGGGGCGGTGTGATGTTTTGAATTTCTGTGTATGACATTTTCCCGAGGAGCAGCTATTTTTGTTTCTCACTATAGAGTAAAAACATCTACACAATAATGTTGATATACTTAACGCCACTGAACCACATACTTAAAGACGGTTAAGATGGTAAATTTTACAACACGTGGGATTTTTGTTTTTCATCTGTTTGGCTTATTTGATTTTTTTTTTTGAAGGTGGGGATTCAGCTCAGGGCCTCATGAATTCTGGGTGGCTTACACTGACCCACACTCCCAGCTCTGTATGGTTCTTTTGAACCACGATTAAAATATAACAGTTTAAAATGTAAGCGTATTTGTGATTATTTTGCATCTGGTTTTATTCAGAAAGTAGAGATATGGTAAAAACAAAATTGTAAGAAACCATCCATAATTCTTTGTCAAGAGAAAAATCATGACAAAACAAGGTCTGTTCCCTGCTCCATGACTGTATATCAGATAGGGTGTTTGTTATTGACTGTATATTAAATGGGATATGTAGGCATGACTACATAGTAAAAAGGGTGTGTATCTATAGCTATATTAAACAGGGTCTGTCTTCTGCTTAAGCACAGGCACTTCAGAGGTGGACACTGTTAGGATTCAGGCGTTATGCCTGTCACCTGGCAGGATGAACCTAGGCAGTACCCTGGCCAGCCCAGGGTCCTATGGCTGCTGCATCACTACCTAGTCTGTACACAGGTGCAAAGGTCCCTTTAAGAGAGAAGCTCCGCCCACCCCATCTCTCTTTTCCCACTGCTCTTCTGAAGAGGCAGGCTGGTCCTTCCTCTTCTTCCTCTTCCTCTCTGTACTTCTCTTTCTTTCTTCCCTCTCCTACTCCCTTTATCTCAATAGAACTCCCACATAAGCCCTGTCTGCATGGTGTATTTGTCTCCCACCCTCCGTGAGGCCTCTGGCTCTCACCCGCCAAGGTCTCTCCTGTGCTGTTTTACAACAGACACTCCATGGAGTGTGCTCTTCACTCTGCATTTCCATCCGATTTGTCTGTTGACACACTGGTTGCTTTTTAGGATTTTATTTTTACTTTGAATTATGAGTGAATGTCTCTATGTACGAGCACATGCATATGAGTGCAGTGGCCCCGGAGGCTCGCTCAAATTCCCTTGGAGCTCAAGCTATAGGAGTCATGAGCCACCTCATAAGGGTACTGAGAACCAAATTCGGGACCTCTGGGAAAGCAGTGGGCATGCCTAGTCACGGAGTCATATCACCAGACCCCACCATTAGATTTTATCTCTGCATTGGATCCCACTGAATGTATATACACACAAAAATCTGTCTTAAATTCCCAATTGTCCAATTGCTTCCATAAATTAAATAATCAAATGGCACCTATGGCTGCCTGGTTTTGAAAGCTGTGTGACTACCATCCAGGGTGTAGAGTGGAGAACCAGCTGTGTCAAAGGCAAGGAAGATACAGCACAGGCTGAGGGCTGAGCTTTGTAGGCCAGAGGGTCTAATGCATCCTGATAGCTATTTGCCAGTATGGCCTAAAGGAAAGGTACTTAACTTCTTCTACAGACCAGATACACTATGTATGCATTGGGGTTGTTGTAATGAATGAGATACTGAACACCTCTTATATCGCATCCTTCAGGTTGCCTTTTGTTAGAATGCTCTGTAATTCAGTTATTTCTTGTTTTACTCAATAAAGGCATTGGAGTAAATGTTATAAAGACAATGTCTGCTTCCTGAAGCCTGCCTCCCACCCTGGCTTCTTTCCAAGTCAGAAACCCATAGATGATGGTCAAGGATAAAGACTTCCATCAGCTAAGAGTCACGAGTTCCAGGGCTCTGCAGGACAACATGGCTATGGCAGTTAATACCAATGAGTTGTATCTGGAAAACTACGGTGACTGCCAGGGACTGGCGCACACACCTGCAATCCTAGCACTTGAGATACGAAGACAGCAAGATCGCCACGAGTTCAAAGCCAGCCTGGGCCACACAGTAAAACCGTGCTTGAAAAAAAAATCACTGAGGGCCAGTGAGATGTCTTAATGGGTAAAGCACTGCTGTATGAGCCTGGTGACCCAAATGCAATTCCAGAAGCCAGGGGGATCCAGCTCCAAAGAATTATCCCCTGGCCTCCACAGGTGCGTGTGTGCAGTGGCACATACATATACAATAGTAATATTTTTTTAACTGCTGAGTGTAGATTTTAACCAAAAAGTTTAAGTACATGAGTTTAAACATATGCAAATTAGCTTTACTCAGCCCTTCCACATGTACAAAACATGTTGTACACTGTAGCTATGCATATTTTTATTCAGAAATTTAAAATAGACGAATAATGAGACAAAAGAAGAAGTAAATAAGAAGTGTGCTCTGAACAGAAGTGACGGCGAGACACAGCCTCTGTGAGAAGCTTCTTGGTGACCGTGTTTTCACACCTTTAAGGTACTTGGTGTTTTATTTGCTCCTCCTGACAGCCCAAGAAGTTAATCCTTTCACCAAGGAAAATAGAGCTGGGAGGGTGAGAGAAGCTGCCAGAGGTGATGTGGCTAGTCCAAAACAAAACCTGACCAAAGACAGAGTCCCCTAACAGTGAGCTGGAGGAAGAGGCAGTCAGCAACAGCGCAGCTCAGAGCATGGTGTCCTCAGCAGCCCCGTAACCAGCAGGGACTGGCCGGAGACCGGGACCAGACAGGGATTTCTGATTCAAAGGGTAAAGGGTGACATTTAAGCCTCCTAAAGATTTGAAAGCTCCCCCATGACTCTAAGTATAGCTAGAGTTGGGAACTAGGACTCGCTGAATGAAGGATACACCCAGGGACTATGTCAGAGTAGGTCAGCTACTACGAAGAATTAGTCAAATGCTAACCAGCCTGAGTGTGCCACACAGGGACACACAAGGACACTTACCTCGCATGTGGCATGCATCAACGACACACAGACAGACTGGAGCATCCTTACCCTCGGCAGCATTTGAAATCCATGTGCCATCTCCCAGGTAGATTTTCTCCACTTCTACATGAGCACTCGCGTACCCGGAGGGAACACACAGCAGCACTCTGGATGCTACTGCTGCTGTCTATGAACAGGGCTATCGTATTTGTTATTCCTTGTTTGTGTGTTTCGTTTCATTTTTATCTCTCATTTGTGGAACGGTTTTGCTATGAAGCTCAAGTTCCTCCTGTCTCAGCCTCCTGCGTGCTTACAGGGCGGGTGGGTACAACCATGCCTAGCTTGATTTTATTTTATTTTGTTCTTTTACTAGTAGGTCTTGAAAGCATGTCATTTTTTCATTTACATTTAACTTTCTCTCTTGGATTGGTAAAGAGTGATATTTTCTACGATATATAAACCACAGTCTCCCTGCTCTCGTCCTATTGAGGGACATTGTTTCAGGTGAGTTTGCACAGACATGCTTTGATCGTGACACGTGACCTCCTGACCCAAATGTGGTGTGTGTTGGTGAATCGGTCCTTTATTGATAGTCATAAATATTGAGGTTCTCTCTTATTTTTTCATTATTAAGAAATAAGGCTGGAATGAAGGAAGGACTTTGGAGGCATGCCCTTTCTCTGTGTGTCTATGTGCATTTATCTCTGTGTGCAACCTGTTTCTAGAAAGGAGCTGCTTGAACTCCTTTTTGAACATGTAGATTTTCAATATTATGTCTCATTCTTTAGCCCCATAGGGAACCTTCGAGACAATTCTTGTCTATTAAGTGACTAACAGCTAACAATGAGAAGAGCAATCTTAAGATGCCTCTCCCTCCAAGACTGCGACATGGACTCACCAATTACTATGCCATGTTGTGTTGGGAAACCCTAGTGGTTGACCACTTCCTGCGAGTGGGAGGGACTAGTTAGATAAGACGTTACCCTTTCACCTCTATCTTCATCCCGGAAGACAAATCTGTGGTCTCCTAGAATGCATCCACCACACAATGTAGCACAGCTGCGTCATGTCAGCCCAGAGGCTCTGTTCCCTTTCTGTCTCTCACTCTCAACAAACACTCCAATGTCACAATCAGGAGGCATCATATGGCCGCGAGCCATCGCAGCCTGATGATGGATGTGTTTTTACTGATGTGTGTTGGATCATTCTTTTGAGCGTTATTTAAAAATTCTCCTAAATCTTGACACATTGGGAGCCTGAGCTGCTGCTGATTTGCAAGTGAGAGCTCCAAGAAATGACTTAGAGAGCAGGACCCGAGCGAGTCTAAGGTTCCCAGGCACCACCCTCAACCCTTCCCAGGCCTCTCATGACTGTCTGGGAGCAGGAGGGACACCACTGCCGGTAGATGCGCATGCTCACCTCTGGGGCAATGTAGTCCGGAGTGCCACAGAAAGTCTTGGTTGTCACCCCATCCCAGATGTTCTCCTTACACATGCCAAAGTCCGCGATCTTGATGTGCCCCTCAGAATCCAGCATCACGTTGTCAAGTTTTAGGTCACTGTGGCAGATATAAGGGTTTGGGAACTTAGTCACATGCTGCTTCTTTTAAGTCAACCGACGGTCCTTCGATATGAATATATCACACGTCTGTGCTGGGAGCTTCGAGGACACCCATGCAAAATGAAACAGGCTTGTTCTTTGGGCAGCTCACAGTCTGGCAGGGGGGAATATGACAAAGGGGCCAACAGACCTCTGTGCTTTCTCTCTCTCCAGAGTGAGCTGGGCCAAATGCATCACTAAAACACAATGCAACAGTATCTCAGGGAAGAGAGAAGCCCTTAGAAAAGCAAAGAACACAGACCACAGTTGACTATGGGATCCAGGAGTAGCCCACGAGTTAGGCTTTACACCTCAGATATCTTCTGTTCTATAAGAAGATATATTTTTTATGAAAATAGTATTTATGAAATGCCTCTGAAGATCATGGAGTTCAAAAAACATAGATTCAGGGAAGTTACTTTAGCTCCAAGTATTCCTGGCTCTTCTAGTATAAAGGTCAGCATTCAGGAGCTCCCGCTGCCCCTTCAATCAATAGGTATCTGTTGCATATCTACCATGTGTCAGGCACTGTTCCTGGGGCTCCATGCATTAGTTACAAATGAGAAAAGTAAGCATATTTCTCCTATTCCAATTAAATCCCAGTGTTGAGCCAAGATAACTAATGTTTCACTTATTTGGATTCTGATTGGCAAGATGGTGAAAAGGAAGACGACAAAGAGATAATAACGGTAAAGAGAGGTCACTATTGGACAGGCTTCTAAGATAGCGAAATCGGGGCTTTAATCTAAGGAGTTTGTGTTCTGCTCTCATCCCTATATTGCCATCTGTGTGAATTAGGAAGGGTTCATGTTCTGGGAAATCCCTGCCTGTCTTCTGTCTGTAAGACTGCTCCCACATCCATGGGGTTATCTTTCATACTTGCTCCTCCCTAAATATCTACTCCAGTGTCAGCGTATTGTGCACCAGTGCGTAAGGATGCTCAATGGGGCAGACTGTTCTGGTTCTAATAGAAGACAAGGAAGTCCAGTTCTCCAGGAGGTATGGAACCTACTTCCTAACTCAGAGCTCTCTCGCTCAGAGAATCTTGATCAGGTTCTGAATGCCTGTACAACTCTTTCTTTCCTGATCCTCAAGTCATGTAATGGGGTTGATGATGAACTTGACTTCTGGCCCCAAGAGTGGTCTAACGGGACTGTAGTTGTCTATGGAAATAGCTGCTCACAGCGATTGGCTCAATAACAGCCATGTGAGCCATTGGAGAACCATCAAAAATTTTGACACCATATCCGTTACTCTGAGTAAAGAGGTAAGCTCTTTTACGCTGGGATGACGCAGGTGCTAAGATATAATTTTAGAAGCCCCAGAGTCCCAGGATGAAGAATAGAAAGCTAATAAAGATAAATCAGCGCCTATAAGGAAGGGCACATGCTTTCAGGTGTGTCCACAGAGTTCTCCATGGCAGCCAATAAATCCCTCCACTAAGTTAAGTGAGTCTGAAATTGAGTTGATGTGGTCTCTTCAGTGGAGTAGATATCTTAACAACATATCCTGACACCTCCTATCTGTCTGTGACGTCTCTTCATCCCGAAGGAGATTGCACCCATCGCAGACAGCAACCTTCCCTCCCAAGTACCTTTGGCATCACCCATGGGACCGATCTTAGACAGTTTTCACACTTGTCTTCAAGGCATTGTCTCCGAATGCCAGGCTAGCAACCACGAGTGCTGCACTATGTAACAACGAAACACACCAGATGCATGTGTGCATTCGCTACACATGACACCTCTTAGCTTGACCAGATGCCCAGACACAGGCAGCTGGGGCACTTATCCTGCTCTAGATGTGAATTACCACGACCAGATTTCGTATGTAGGTGGTGGGGATCTGAACTCAGGTCTTCATGCCTGCACTTTGCCCACTGAGCTATCCCCTCAGCCTTGAATTACTTTGGTTGCAGTTTTCCCCTGTATCAAACTCTTAGTCTGGAGGGCTGGAACATTTATCTCGAAGAACTCCATTAAGGAAAACCAGCACCGACCTCAGAGTCAGCGATCAATAAACCAGATACTAAGCCTGACAAAAAGGATCTTTTAGCCTCCGCTGACCTCCGTCCATGTGTAGCATGCTCCCCGGAAAAGGAAAATTGAAAAATTTGTCATCTTCTTTCCTTAAGAACTGCGCTACCCAGGACGAGTGAGGGCAGGGATTTCGAAATCATGCATACTCCACATAGGCAGCAGAGCCCTAACTACACTCTGAACATTCGTCCTTATCCCACAGGTAAGTGGAGTCCTCACCCTGCATCAAAAAAACTTCTTTTTGCAACAGATGGAAACAATCACAGACAAGCACACCCGATAAAGAGACATAGCTGTGGGGCCCAATCACAATGGTTACCTCTACAGTATAACTCCCACAACTAAGGCTCAGAAGAGGGGGTGGAAAGAGTGTAAGAGCCAGAGGATCAGGGAGTTTGCTGTGAGATTGCGTCTCCTAGTAACATCAGAAGCTACACCCATAAAGTCTCACCTATATGACTTGTTCAAATGTGAGCTGAACAAAAACAACAACAAGCGTGCTGGTGGGGATGGGAGAAAGACCCTACACAAAAACCACAGACAGCTATGGAACACATGGCGTGGGAGAAATAATCTTCTCCAAGGAAGAGCACACCAATTGCTTGGTTATCCAACTCCAAATGATCACTCTGAAAACATGCATACAAGTCACATTCTACAGACTGAGCAGGTTATACTAATGTATTTGGAAATATGTGTGTGCACAAACATATGTGCAACAATTAATGAAGAAAGAGACCAGGAATTTGAAAGAGAGAGAGGAGAGGTAAATGGGATTGTGTGGAGGGAAGAAAGGGAAGGGAGAAACCATGCAAGACCCATGCTATCAAGTAGAGATCTAAATGAAGAAGGAAGAGATTTGTAACACTTGAAAATAGTTTTCCACTGTAGAGGAAGTTTATATGAAATCATAAAATTATATATATTTGTTGTGCATTTTTGCAATTTTATTAGATTATTAATGCCTAGAGCTCTTTCAACTGAGTTTCTTAATAGTGAGCAACAGAAAACAACTTTAATGATTTTAATATGGAAGGGAATCTAAGAAAGATATTGAGGAGTTCACAGAATCTCTGAGGAGGATGAAGAACACAGCAGGGAGGCTTCACAAGGCGGAACCACGCCTGATCAAAATGCAGAGTGGGCACAGCGAAGCTACACTGACATTACGACTAGATACAGACATTGCTTCTTGTTCCATGAGGCCCTGAAGCTGTACTCTACAAGTTACTGCCCACATCTGCTTCTCCTCTTGCCTCTGGAAACCAGCTGCAGCTGGTGACTGTAGCCATTCTCAGCTATGGTTTTCCTTGGTCACCAGTTTTCTTGACCCATAGTATTGGGTGAATACAACAGAATGTCTAAGCCTGAGCCATGGGCTTGGCCCTGCTCATAGGAGCTGTGCATGCATGCATGCGATCATTTCATATCTCCTTATTTTGAATATAATATCTTACTATGTAGCTCAGGTTAGCTTTGGACTCATCACTCTCCTGCTTCAGGTTCCCATGTTCTAGGGTTATAGGTATGTATAGCTACAGTTGGGTTTCTAGTCTTCACAGTAAGAAATGGACTTGGCAAAAAAAAATCCACCATATTAACAAAGGAGAATGAAAAGGGGAATCTATTGATAGAAAAGAGAGAGGTGAGAGAGAGAGAGAGAGAGAGAGAGAGAGAGAGAGAGATAGGCAGGTAGATAGGCAGATAGATATGCAGGTAGATAGATAGATAGATAGATAGATAGATAGATAGATAGATAGAGATAGAGAGATAGACAGGCAGGGTACACAGACAGACAGACAGAGCATTTGAGAGAAGAGGCTGTCTTAGGACCTGAACTGTTCATCAATTCCAAATCTCAAAGCAGATCCTGGTATGCTGAAAATGAGCCTTAATCCCCATCTTAGCAAACACGAACTCAGTTTCATTTCCGGGCCTGGGTTGTCTTCTAACATATGTCTTAGTCCACACTTAATCTTCTCAGGAGCCTGGTTGGTTCTATTCTTTGAGAGGTATGTCCTACGCAGGAGTAAGACCTACTGTCAGTACATCAGGTGAAATTCTTAATGAGTGCAAATTTACCCATAGTTCTTGGTTTGGAGATTAAGCAGTGACTAAAGTCACTGGCTTGAATGTAGGGTCACATCACACAGATGACAATTCCCTTCTATACAGAAGGTAGTGTGTGCCTTCTGAGGCCAGAATTACTTCCAGCACAAGATGACCCCATTATGAGAGGGACACTTGAGAGACTGAAGGATTCCAAAGTTTCATGTTACACTGACATGGTGGCGCATGTTCACTGAGGGCAATCGTTGTCAAGATGACCAAACTATTTAAAACTAATTGATTTGCCTTTCTGATTCTGTACATTCACTGGACGATCTATGAGGCAGACAAAACCACTTTTCCTAATGCATTAACTTCTTCATTATCAGGGGAAGAAATGGGGGTGTGCCATGCTCGGAACAGTATCATCTCACCTCCCGATCCCATGCCACTGCTGCTGAGCAAATAAAGCTGGGCTCCGTGGGACTCCTGCAAGGTTTCCCCTTCCATTGCTCTTTCCCCTAACAACTCTAGCTTTGCCTCCACCCACCTGGAAGCAGCCAAAGTTGGTATCTCCCTACAGTTTGTCCCTATCCTTCAGCTCTCGAATAAGGGGTCCAAGACCCCAGGCATCTCTAACCCTAGGCAAAAATTCCCATTCCTTCTGTGATAGAAAGGTGACCATTAATCACCAGCACCAGCAGCCCCCTTCTGTATTCTCTATAGGTCACTTCTGTCTCTTGCTTGACAGCTGTCCTCCCTTGGAACAGTACTCAACACATAGTAGGCTTTTGATGAATATCTGCCAAACCAATGAATGGAATGGGCTTCTATGACTCTTCAGGGGCCTTTAAATAGACCCTTGCCCATGCTAAGAGCTGATAAAAGCACACACCCCACCAGGTCCTATTACATAACAGCCAGTCAATTCCCCCGTAGCCTGTGCCATCCTCATCGACGTAGCACAAGAGGAACTGTACGCCCTGGACTCGCTGACAAATCGCAGCCTCGGGCTCGCTACCCTGCCTTGCATGAAATATAAAATGGTGTGACTCATACAGCTATGATCACACACTTGTTTCTCCACAAACCGGCAAATGCCAACTTCTGAAGTTAATCCTGTCTTTCAGGGAGAGCAACTCAGAGATTTGTTTCCAAATTGCAGCTACATGCAAGGAAAATGGTTGCATAATCATACAGCCCTGCCACATTCTGCAAGTTAATTCTTTCCATGCTTCCTGGATGTGCGGGTCCAGGAGAAGAGTGTTGGCACCCTCTTGTCAGAGGCACGTCTTCTCAGAGACTCAGTGTCCTTGTGTTTGAGGTCCCAAAGAATCATGGGTGACACAGTCCATCAAGATTTTTCTATCACCATAGACAGCTGCCCAAACTTTGCCAGGGCAGTGGGCGATGCTGCCTGGCAGAACACATGCCCAAGTTAGTACTGGAGAATTCCTCCCCCACCACGGATTCTAATTTTAAAAGCAGTTGAAGAAAGAGGCAGGAAGGGAGGAGCTGAGGGAGCCGTGGAGATGGAAAGGACAGCCATGCTCACTTACCGGTAAATGATGCCCTTGCTCTGTAAGAAGAACAGACCAATGGCGATCTCTGCAGCATAAAATCTGAAATTAGAGAAGAACGGCGGTGGAGAGAGTCAAGGACACCATGTGCTTGGCAACTCCCAGAAGTCACTATCACATTGAACAAGGCACAGGGCATGGAGAGCCCACTATGGACTGTCAGCTCTACATCTCATAAAGTGCTGAGCACATGGGTGGGCCAACGGGATGGCTCAGAGTAACCCACGGCGATGGGTAAAGGGTCAGCAGTTGCATAGTGGCGAGGGGCCTATGGGGTGGGTGGGCTGGTGCAGAAGGATTGTTTCCTTCTGCTGCGTGTTAAAGGCTTTCAGTGAGAGCATCTGACAGCTGTAGGGAGCGTAGCATGCACTCGGCATCGTTTCCAGGGTTGTCTGTTTTAATTCAACCTAGAATGTGATGCCATAGGTCCTACTAGTACACCTTTGCTATCCAAATGAGACCAGGTGCCTTCAGGGTGCCATGGCCATAGGCGGCCCCTTTGCTAAACAAACGGGGAAATCGAGGCTCAGAAATGAAGTCTGTGAAGAGCCTGGAAAAGACAGACAGCAAATAGTGGTCAAGCTAGCGTCTCAAGTATAACTTTGTGGAAGTCTACCAAAAAGAAAAGTCTATTGGGGGGGGGTTCTAGGGGTACAGGTTCTGTACAGGGGTACAGAAACCAGAGTACTGTGCATCTAGGCATATTCTCCGTCCTTGTTTTGTTATGTTATTTCTTAAGATGTAACCTCACTCTGTAGCTCAACTCTGTAACTTGTCATGTAGCCCAGGCTTGCCTCAAACGTGAAATCTCCCTGCCTAAGCCTCCCAAGGTCTGCCCACCGTGCCTGGCTCATGAAAGAGATTTTAAGAACATTAAAAAAAAAAGGCCTGTTATACCACAAGGGTTGGGACCTCAGGAATCTGTGTTGAGTCCTCATAGTACATGTCACATAGCAATGAGTTAAACCTGGGTCAACTCCATGTCCGAGAAGAAAGGAGAAGCAGTTCTAACTCTGATATTGTCACGACACTGGAGTTGGAAGCATGGGAAATAGTTTTCCTGCCTTCAGCAGGTGGGAAGATAAGAAGGAGGCCGAAAGGAACTGCAGCCCACAGCTCTCCCAGAACTGCAGGGTGAGGCCCTCGAGGGGCTTTCGGGACTCTCTAGAGAAGCAACACGATCTAAGCAAACACCCAAGAAGGGGAATTGACGTTCATTCCTGTGGCTTTTTCTGTTCCTGCTCACCCACGGGGTTCTAAGCAGAGAAAAAGCTTAGTGAGATTTTTTTTTAATTTTATACATTATTTCTTACTGGCTTATGCATTGGAAGGAACAAAATGGAGAACCCACAGACCGCGGCTGCTAATCAACCTGATCCTTTATCTCCCCCAGAGTCAGAGGAGAAGAGGTATAGGAAACAGGTGAACACACACAGGTGGGCCTCTCCCACAGATCCTCCACTAGTGCCAGAACCTTGACGTTTGACCAGCTCCAGGTCTCCGTTCGCTTGTTCGTAAAGCTTGGGTGAAACTATCTCTCTCCCCGTGCTGCTCAGGATAAAATGAGACCATGTTTGTTCAGTACTTGGGGGTTGGCACAAAGAAAGCTCTCAATAAATATTAGCAAACGAACAAACAAAACCCTGCTAAGATGCTAAGACATTCTCCGAGAAAGATGGAAGACCTTCTTTAGGATTGAGGGGCCAAAAATTTTTTTAGAGATTATGAAACAACCATCGCTTTAGGGCTATGAGTTCTTAGCCAGCCTTCAGGAACATAATGAAGAATTCCCCAAACAAGCAGAATATGGTTCTCTTTGGCCAAATATTCTTCCCAAAGAGGAAGCTTTAGATGTTGAAAATCCTCATTGGCTAAAACTTCAAAGGCACTGGCACCCATTTATCCCAAGGAAAGGGCACAGCAGGAGGTCCGTCTTACACTGCATGGGGCTCCTTGAACCGGCCAACTTGTTGGATGTGGTACATGAGGTCACCCCCGTTCACATACTCCATCACAAAGTACAGGCGGTCCTGCGGAAAGAGAGCAGACAGCAATATCAATCAACCCCATAGTTTCTCAGGCTACAAACAGGGAACAGGGAGTAGCTTGGATTCGTGATTAAAACTGCCAGGACTCTGACGCATTCTTTCACGCAGGAACTAGCATTCTCTTAAGGGTAACCTCCGTGCCGCTGTCAGTATGCAGGCTAGCATAGGTGGAATGAAACCGCTTTTAATTAGTAACTACAAATTGAAATTCATTTGTGCTGGAAAATATAATTAACACGTGGATCTTACTACTTAATTGATATTATTGTTTAGAACAGGGTTTGCTGGAATAAAAAGTAGGAAATACTGGGTAGATAATTTTACAGTCGTAGGTGTCTGTGGGAGCCGATCTTCACATTGGCTCTCCAGTGATTTCACTTCCTAATATGCATGCCCTCCTGTACCACCTCCCCTCAATGACAGGGCTAATAACAGCATTCACGATTTGGGGATGAGGTCACAAAAGACCTCACAGTTTCCACTTTGCACTTCCTTGAATTATGTTTTCTACGGCAGTCGTGATCTGGAGACACAAAACCAACACTAGAAGAGACCTATTGGCAAAGACCCAATGTTTCTTATCCACAGACAGCATTAGCTTTCTAGTCACGTGAACAAATCACCCTGGAAAAGACTATTTCTCCTCAGTCATGCTTTCAGGGGATTGCAGTCCCCACTGGCCACTTGACCGTAACATCATTTGAGACCAGATACTGGACTTTTAGAGAGGTGTGCCAGCCCAAATCCCTGACGGGAAAGAACTATGAAGCGATAAGTGTTTACTGTTGCTTTAAGTCACAGAGTTTTGAGGAACTAGGTGGCAGACATCTGACCTGGTGGCTGGCAATATCCACCAATTAGCAAAGTTTGAAAAGTAGCAGCCTAGAAAGATTGTTGTGGTTTGGGCCTGAAATACCTCCCCAAATGTTCATGTGTTGAAGGCTTGAGCCCTAGCTGTGGTAGTTACCTTTCTTGACACTAACTGAAAACCCCGAGACTACTACTTAAGGAGAAGACAGGTCTATTTTGGCTCATGGTTTCTGTCCACGGTCACCTGTCTCCACAGTTTTAGATTAGATTCATACAAAACAGAATGTCAAGGTGACAGCCACATGTGGGAGACCCAGTCATCTGAGGGCAAACGGGAACTAGACAGAGGAAATACAGACGGAGTCAGAACAGACAATAGTTCCTGGGAACATCCTCAGGTCACCTACTGACCTTATTGGTTCCACCGCCTACTTCACTACTTCCCAGTTAAACATCCTCATACTGGCGGAGGATTAATACACTACCTAGACAAGAGCTCTTAGGACCCAGTTACTTCCCACGAGTCCATCTGCTGGGGGCCAAGGCCTCGGTCTATGAGTCTATGAAGACACATTGTATTCAACCCAAAACATCTGTGTATCAGTGTCTAGAGGTGAAGCCTTGGGAAACTGGTTGGATCATGAGACTTCTGACTTCATTAATTAATTTACCTATGGGTCATAACTTATTAAGCTATTGGGAGACAGTGGAACATTAGGAGATGGTACCTAGATAGAGGAAGTGGGTCACTGGGACATGACCTTGGGGGGTATATTTTTGTCTCTGACTGCTTCCCTAGCCTTCCTTCCTTCCTATGCTCCACCACAGCGCTCTGCCATCATGTTCTACCCCATCTATAGGAAAATGGTGTGTGTCCAAGTGGCCATAGACTGAACCCTGTGAAGCCAAGAGCCATAGATTGAACCCTGTGTAGCCATGAGCCATAGACTGAACCTTGTGTAGACATGAGCCATAGACTGAACCCTGTGAAGCCATGAGCCATAGACTGAACCCTGTGTAGACATGAGCCATAGACGGAAGCCTGTGAAGCCATGAGCCAAAATTCACCTTTTTTCCCCTTTAAATTGTTTTTCTCAGACATTTTGTTACAGAAAATAGCAATATGTGCCAAGCATATCTCAGGTATTTTCATGGTGAATCCAGCAAATTGCCCTAAATCTCTCAAGACTGAAGTTTAAAAGGAAGGTGCATGCTATCGTGACCTTCCTGTCAGGAGAAATGACATTCTGAAGAAACCCCTGCACCTTTCCCTTCAGCTGTCAGACTGTGAAGACAATAGATCCCCCAAAATTAAAATTTCCCCAGAAATCCCACACAGGGAGAAGGAGAAGCTGAAGAGCTGGTGTCCAGTCAAAGGAGGAACTCGCCTCTCAGGAAGAGATTACACAGTCTGTCGGCCTGCTAGACCACCCTGCAGGACAGACCAGAGCCAAGACCGTGATGGGTCAGTGCAGACACCTTGAGCTGGACAGCTAGTTAGTCATGTCCAGACTCCCTCTATCGAAAGCTAAGCCGTGTCAATAACCCCCAAGAGAGACTCCCTCTTCCCTATGTGCCTATAGTGGTCAATCTAATCTCCCTTCTCTGCTTTTTATAAGCAACAATAAGAACCTAAAACAAGGACACGTGCAGAAATGAAATGACTGGGACCAGGACAAAAACTGAATCTCAGCTTAGGGGATTTTTCACGTGTCTCTCAAGGCACGCTGTGAACTCCTTTCAGGTCAGGGGCGGTGTGAGGCTCTTTCTGGTACCATGCACATACAGTAGGTGCCCGGAGGGTGAAAGAACGCATGTTTAGAAGTCAAAGAGACTATTTAGAAACCAGTCTCTGGCTCCTGATAGCAGAGGATCTCGAGTGTTAACATTTGGGTCCCTTCATTTTAATCAGATGCAAGGTGCTGTTGGTGAGGTTAATGGAACAGAAGGTATCGTGCTCCCTGGGAAATGTCCACCTGAGATTTGACGCTTCTCCTTCTGTCAAAGAGTGTTTGCTAAATGAATGAACGGTACCCCCTTTTCTTAGTTCTGTCTGGTTTAGATCATTCCTTTATTCTGCTTTCTTTTGGCTTGCAGGGCCTGCACTATTTGCAGGAAACTAAAATCCCCCTCATGTTCCCAGGCTAAAAAAACTGTTTCCTCTAAATTAACCCACCCAGTCTAAGTCAGGTCTGCATGTTATATTCTTCCGTGAACCTCTCTGGCTGTCCCCTCTGATCATATCATAGTAATTATATCTTTAACTGGATGATAGTCTGTCCCATCTGTTTATCCATTTATCCATTAAGTAAAGAAATAGTCACAGAGCCCTACTAGGTAGCAGATTACAGGTGCTGGAGAAAAAAGAAACGAACAAAACCAACAAAATTCCCTAGCATCTATGTTTCAACTTAGCAGAGAGAGTGATATTGCTAAAGAGAATACTAAAGGTAATACACAGAGTGCCTAGGGTTGCAAGGGCTATGTAAAAAACAATACAGGTTAAAGAGACTGGGATGTTAGCAGATGAGACAGGGAAAGAGACTTCCAACTACAATCAGGTGCTCAGGATAAAAGCTGAGAAGATGTTTGAGCAAAACCACCCAGAACAGGGATGTGTCTAAGGGAGGAAATAGCCTATGCAAAAGCCGTGGGCAGAGAGTCCATCCACTATGCCTTGGCATCCATCAGAAAGCAGTGAAAGTGGAGAACAGAGAAAAAGGGATACAGAAAAACGTGGAAGAGGGGACCAGAGATAGGCTGACTCAGGATAGGGGTTCTGAACATGAGAAAAGAAACAGACTTGGGGTTTCACTTTGTGAGTGGTTGTCTATGATGGATAGCACCCCATGCCCACTGTCTCTGGCCAAAGCAATCCACTGATACAAATCAATGAGTAAATGGATGAAGGGCACAGGAATTCGTGGGCATCTGAAGCACCGTCATGAGTTGGAAGGCTCAGCAGCTTCCCTGGGAATAGGACTCAGAATATCATTCTATGTCCCTGGGCCTGCGACCCCTGTGTATGATGAAGACAGTATAACCATCCATCTTCAACGGAGTGGCCCCAGAAAGACACACAGAGCTGTACACCGTGACTCTGACAAAGACGGGGAGGGGCACCTGGTTTCTCAAGCCAGATCAGTACTGACTTGAACAGATCACCAACTCAATTTGTGAGGCATAGCATTTTTTTTTAAGAGAAAAATGAAGCAAGAATTAAAATGAACAGAACAGAAAGGGTCAGAGTCCCATGTACAGAGCACTGAGTATGTTTCCATGACATGTGAGTTGTGTTCTTTAACGTGTAGGTAAAGCTGAGGTTTGTTGTAAAAGTTGGTATTACATGAAAAGCTGCAAAGCTACTGGGAGGACTAAAGCTGGGAGAACAAGCACAAGGAGGAAGCTGCAGGGCAAAGGTCCCCTCTCCAAAATGAGCACGGGGTGGGAATGTCATTTTGTTACCTACCAGCTGTGCAATGACATGCAACTGTTTAGCCTCTCTGCTCTCCAGATCTCTCTTCACTTATACAGTGGATACTCGCACCTGCTCATTAGGGTACTGAACAAGATGTCATATACGGACTGCCTAAGATGCTGGCCTTGGAACAAATATTTCATCCAGTGTGTAAAGAAAAAAAAATCCTTCCAATACATAAGCTTTTGTGTTACTCTATATAACCAGTATTGTATGTTTGTCAATTGTGTATTTTAAGGCATTGCACAGATAATAATGACAAAGCCACTTCACCAAGCCCTTGATGTATACCCGAGTTTTATGTATTTTACCTTTTTTTGTATATCTAAAGGGCCTACCATGGCAAGCATTAGATCATTCTCTGCCTTAAAACATGGAAGCTAATGTGGAGAAAGGTTAACAGTCACTCAGCTGGTAAGTGGCAGGGGCGGGATTGGAATCAAGACGGATCAGTTCTAGGGTCAACACTCGAAGCTTCTCACTCTACTGGCCCCAGTGAGTGCAAGCATCAGGGAAGGTTCTGAACTCACAGACATCACAGAGAAATGTATGGATGCATCATCCTTCCTTCGAAGCCACCAGCCTTCCAGTGGGGGAGAAGGTTCACAGTGCTCTCCCCGGGCATCCAGCTGGAGCTGGCAGGTTCACAGCAAGCGGAGCAAGTCAACCAATTACATATCTTTTTGAAATGGTT